CATCTCTCAAAACAAAAAATTTACAAGTTACAACACAACCAAATTTGAATAAGCCACATTTCCAGTAGATCCCCAAAGCATTTCCTTTGTTTTGTTTGCCAAGATCCTGTCATGTATTTGACGATCCATGCTTTTGAAGATTGTTGCTTGTGTAGTTCAAATACTATTAAAACTAATAAATATTCATTGTACCAGTTTTAATCTTTGATTTTTAGTCTTTAATCTAGTCAAAGTGTCTTGTAGAGTCTTTAAATCTTCTATCAAGCCAATTCGGTTTTTAGGTTGCTTTAAAGAGAAATGAGCTGTTTTAAGTGATACCATAGCATATGCAGAGTCGTGCAACAACGTCATAACCTATATATCAACCTAAAATTTGGAAACAAGTAAAAGCAATGAATTAGCTTTTATTTGGAGGTGGTTGGAAGATGGAAGTCATTTCATCTTTGCAAACAAAATTATGATAGTTTTTGTAAAAACATGTCATCTTAACTAATAGATGAACAATGCGAAGATGATTTTGGTCTACAACATTTATAACCAATCAAACCAGAAACTCAGATTGAGTTGTTTTCGTTTTCAAAGAAATTTTGACATATTTCAGAAAAATTTAACAAATTTTATTTTGACTTTAGTTTTCTCGAGAAAAACCCAAAGGAACAACCATAAACTAATATATACTTATTTTAAGCCATTTTGGAGGCATCACATTCTTTTTCTTCATAAATTTTTTATTTTACCACATTTCTTTAGTAGTTGATCACCATGGATTATAACAATTGGCACTTTCGAAGAATACATTTTAGTTGAGCTCTTTGTAGATGCCATTGGATGAAACTGAGCTTACAAAATGATGTAACCATGAGGAGAAGTCTCACTCAAACTTACTAAGACTGCATAGCCAAAAGTTGTTTTCGAATCGTTGCCGAGAAATTTCTTAATGAATGAGAGGGATAAGATGGAGTGACGTGAAACGAAGGAATCACACACTGTATGGACTGATATGTGATAGAGCAAAGCGAATCCTAGCTAAGAAATTCAAAAACACAGTTTAAAACTCAAATCAATATTTTTCATTGAAACTTTTCAAGTTACGATACAAAGAGACAAAGAGAGGCTTTATAGAGTCTCATGTTTCAAAGCAAAAGCAATCGAGAAAGGTAATACTTAATTTAGAATGAAGTATTTATAAAGAGAAGTCTTTGTAGAGTTTCATGTTTTGCGTCTTATAAATTCGTAGCGGGAACATTTTTTAAGTCTTAGTGGATCGACATGTAAGTACTACTGCGTTTGCTTGTGAATTTATAGCTCTTTTCTTGGATAATAAATCTAAAAATTCTTAACCCTATCAAGTTTTTGATGCTGTTACCGAAGACTGATTTGTTGCCTACAAATTATTGATAATAATTTAGTCTATGATTTGTTGTGGAAGAACGGTGATGAGTGGAGGTTTTATTCATCAAATCCACAAGCAACACACAAACCAGTATCATTTGAGACTCAAAAACAATCTAGAAACGCAAGCCAATATAATACAAGTGATTCATACTCATATTTTATAGACATAAATACAAGAAATCCACTTATGAACTCTAATGAACAAGAACTCCAATATGAATACATGTTGGTCCAAAACGGGTAAGTTTCAATTTATCCGATTTGTAAGACTCATAACTTTTTCATATAAACTCATATTGGAATAAATCCAGTTCGAGGTGATCTTCTGATGAGTTAAGTTTCGGAAACAAGTTGTTTTGTCATCTAACTATTCTTGGTTTTTTTTGTAGGTTCCTTGGAAGGCTTCTATCCTTTTATTGGTTCTCTAGTTTAGCTACTTGTCCGATTAACTCATCACAAGTTATCCACAAAAATTCTAGAGGCCATTCGTTTTGACAATAACAACCAATACAATGACTTTGTTGGGAAGTGTAATACCCGTGATAGGAAATTACAACGTTCGAAGGGATGATCGTGCTGAAATTGTGTTTGCATGCATAATCAAGATAGAAAAATCATACTAAAAAATATTATTTTAGATAAAAGACATATGGCAATTACAGAGCATAAGAAGTGAGGTAGATCGTTGACACATAGCAAACACATCAAAGGAAGAAAGAGAGAGGCATGCCAAGACATGGCACTATGAGAACAAGGCGTTGACACCTAGCGAACTCGTATATCAAGCTGGTAACATGGTTCTGACATTTAGCAAACACTTATCATATGCGGAGCATGGCAGTGATATGTGTCAGATACGTGTCAATCTCCAGAGACACATGGTAAACACGTTTCAACACATGGGCATCACATGGCACTCATTGTTCTTATTGTTAACAACCTTCAATCAAAGTATGTTTGTGGTTTGTACAGTTTCTGGGATTGCACGGTTCTGTTTTTGGATTGTGCCCATAACGACCTTTGCGTTGTAACTGCAAAGTGGGCTTATCGTGATCGCGGTGAAGTGGGGTTATTGCTGTCGCAGTCAGATCAACGATTAAATCTTGATGATTTGGCCGGTAAGGTAAAAAGGACAAAGATTGAATTGTCAAAATCGCATACGAAAGGTTTTGGCGTTGGTAAATTTGCTATGTCGGTTTATGCATGGTTGATTGTTTCTGAATGCTTGGTATTTGGGATTTGAGTGGGAATCCTTATTGTATATAGTGAAAGCTGGAGCTCACTGAATAATTTTAGATTACTTATTCTTCTTAATAAATTTGGTTTGTTGGTAGTGGGAGACATTGGCAGGGAGCTCAGAACGTAGGTTTTTGTTGCCTTGTGTAAAATTATACTTTGGTAGTGATGTGGTGTAGAATAACAAGTTTTACTCAAACTTATCAATTGCAAAACTGTAAGTGCACAGTAAATTGATTGTAGTACTTGAAGTATCAATCCTGTAGAGATTTTAAATGCACAATAGGATTATGAATTAAAATTTAACTAAGTTGAAATGGTTTTTTGTGAGCAAGTGAAGGAGCAAATAATTGATTCGGTTTAAGCAACAAAAAGAAATCGTTGGGATTTTAAAGATTCTCATATATTCATAGTTCGAATTATTCATGCATTTATTGCTAGGGGCAATTGATTTGATTGTATCACAGAACATGAACAAATCAACCATAATCTCGCGATGATGACTACTATGTCAAATCTATCATATCGAGAATATATAGCGTGCATATATAAGAAAGGTCAATTTTTCATCTAACGCGCAATAACTCAACATTTGCCGGTTAGAGGACTAGATTCATCAAATAAAGGAAGTGATGTTCAAACAATG